GACAAAATAGTTTATGGAATTTGATAAGCGTATGAGAACTTTTGCCGGCTTCCCACATCCATCATTTTTCTTGCTCTCGATCCTTTCGAATAAATACCCTAATTTTTCTTGCCATAATTTTACAAAAAAAATGTGAAGAGTTTCATGTTTTTTATTGATTTTAAAAGTTTGACTTTTCTCAGCCTGATATCCTAATCAGCAAAGCGAAATGACGTGTGTAATCCTTTTCCCGGACACGTAGGCATAAAACTTGCCACCAAGCAGAATTGGGTTCGGGTTGTAATTTTTAAAAAAAGTTGCGATATATTTGCAATTACCCTAAAATTTAGTTTAAATTGCAAATAGGCTAAATGTCATGATTTTATAAGCAATTAGGCCTTAATAAATCAAACTAAATGATGCGAAATTCAACAAACACAACCAAACACCATAATCTATCACTCATAAAGCATGTAAATATGATGAGTGTCAAACAACACGTGCATACAAATGGAAAAAATAAAAATTGTATTCCTTAATATTCCTTTCTATCTGCAACAAGAACTACACGTTTACACATTGGAAAAAAAAAGTTATTTATATTCATTTGACATACAAAGGACCTCCGACTGGCTGGATTGCCCTGACTTCGAGCTCCTCGTCAGTTGAACGCCTTGAGACATGCAAAAACTCTCACATCGGAGGGCTTTTACAGTGAAGAGTCTCTCATTCTTAAGTTAACACTTATAGAAGATGAAGTGTAGTATATGCGTATAGAATAATGAAGAATGTAATGTGATAATGGGCATACTTCAGTACTCTCTTACATAGGGAGGTGATACCTTGTTGCCTAAGATTTTCCCAGTGGGCTGCCAAACTATCTGTTCGTACTGCCCGATCTGTCCGAACTGCCCAATTTTGTTAGGCCATGTGGCCCTATCCACATGTGGTTCTTATCATATTAAGACTCTTTCTTATCTTATAGTCTCTTGTATTAGACTGCCTAAAGGTCCGACTAGCTCGAACCTTGTTGGGCGTAGAATGTTGTCCATTCTAAGCAATGTTCTGAAAACCGAATCGGTCATCGAACCGGTGAAGCTACCGGTTCAATAGTTCACTGGTCGGACCAGTGGTCGAACCGGTCGAACTAGTTTAGTTAATATTATTTTTTATATGTATAATATTATTTTTTTTATTAATTTTATATGTATAATATATAATTTATATATTTTTATCATTAATTTTATATAATTTTATATGTTTATGAGAGGAAATGGACTGTTTTTTTGAAAAATAATTTTACTAAAAAGAAATATTATGCTGTGAGGAAATTTAGATTACGATGAGTTATTACTTTTGGTGCAATAGAGTTAAAATCAGATGAATTTGTGGAAAGATATTTAAATTTGGGGGTTATTTTCATTTTTAAAATTTCATGCATCTTTAAAGTTTAAACATTAATTTGTCCCTTAGCCCAATAAGGCAATGGCAGCTGCAATAATTGCTTTTGAGACCAGTTATAATAAAGAAAGTAGGCCCGTTATCGGCCCAATGAAATGACTATCTCTTATTTGCTATGAAGTATATACAAGACATCCCACATTGAATAAAGAAAGAAAGAGGTTAGCAACTTAAGTGGTTTTACATCCACCTCTAAACAATAGAGCAGCTGGGCAGCAGGACCTTTGGACCGTGTGAACCGCAACCGATTTTTTGATTTTGGTGGTTTTTAACCGGTTCAAGCGATTTTTATCCAGTTTTGAGCTCCAGCGGTTTCGTACCTCAAACCGGATCGGTGTATTGAAAGGTTTCCGATTGAATCGATCGAACCGGCCGGTCTGGTCTGATTTTCAGAACATTGGTTCTGAGCCAAAAAATTACCTTTATGGTCTATAACATGACCAACCATGCCTACAGGTTGAGTTTTTAATAGGTCATATGAGGGCCCTAGCTCGACCTGTCATTGTCCCTTTGAACCCCTCGCTTTTCTTTCGATCTGAAGACTCCTCGTCAATGCTCGACCTTTCAGCTGATCTGCTTCAACTATCTGGTTGTTTGACCTAGCCGGCCAGTTTATTGGGTTTGCTTTTCCAAGTATGGTATCCCATATCATCTTGTCCCTCTGACTCTGGTCGGGTTAGAATAACTCGATCTAAGAGTAGATCTGTCCTTGATTTTGGTTGGTGAATTCCAGCTTTTCGACTTTCGATCTTTTTGACTGTATTTCATTTAGTTCTACTACATAACATTTTTTCGACCAGTCTACTTATTCTTCCATTATTTTCGACCTTTATTTGGTCTTTATCTAAAATTTCAAAATCTTGTCAGATCCCATCAATCAAGACGTCCAAATGACATCACCACTCCGTAAATCTCACTAGCTCGTAAGATGTGCCCATTAAATGCCTTATTAATGACAGCCGTCAGATCCGCCTTTAATCCAACGGTTGAATCTTGATGTCCTTTTAACTAGCCTATTAAATCTCAGCCATTAATATTGACGGCGATCCAACGATTTTCTGCAATTCGTCCTTTCAACTTCGTGCCTTTAGATCTGCGTCATTGACTCCCATGTTCATCCAATGGTCTAGCCTTGGCCGACTTTTCAGCTCACCTGCCTGATCCTGGTCATTGATATCGGTCATGATCCAATGGTCAGGGTCGATCAACCCGCGCGCCTTTCGCCTATAAGAAGCCCAGAGATCGGCTTTTTCCAACTTTTCCACCTTCACACACTTTGCCCTCTCTTTTAGCAATATTGATCTTTTCTTGCAATCAAGCTCTCTGCAGTGCCACCCTATTTCTTCAAGTTTCTTCAGATGACCATTCTGATTTCCGACAATGAGTAAGGGCTCGCTTGTTTACAAAATAATTCGTCCAAAATGAATTATTTTGGTTAACCAGAGTTAATTTTGAAAAATGTGGTATGGTTAGTTGTTAGTGGGATTTTAAGAATGTATTAAAATTATATTTAAAATAAAATGATTAAAATTAATTTGATGTACAAATAGGAGATAAATGATTGGAAATGATAGGTAGTTAAAATTATGTGAGTGGATGAATAGTAAATTATAGTTGATGTGATGTGTATGAATAATTGGTTTGTATTATTTAATTATATGAATAATATTAAAGATAATGAAATGGAGTTAAAGTTGAGTTAGATTTTGAGTATGTGAGTGAAATATTTTATAAACAAGCATGCCCTAAGTATTTGTTTTCTGATTTTTGTTTTTGATTTTGTTTTGCTTGTTTGTTTTTATTTTTTTTTATTATTATTTTCTTCGAATTCGCCGTCCTCAACACTCCTCCTCCTCCTCCTCCACTTTTTCTCAATATGAAACCTAAAAAATTATCTTTTTTGATTTCTTCTTTTTTAGATTCCGATACTTCTAGTGAAGCCGACAGCTTTTCCGGCAAAGACATGACCCCTCCGTCCTCCTCTTCGACCCCTCGACCTGAATTTTCTCCTTCTTCGACCTCTTTTGTTGAAAAAATTATCTAGCCGATTCCTCTTTCTACGGTTCCGGTTCAGTCTCCACCGACCTCGTCCACCTAGACTCCTCCTCCCCGCCGCCCTCGTCGACCTTTCGGGCTACACGACGAGCCTGAAGAGGAAAAGGACGATACAGTCCTTCCCCCTGCTCCCTTGCCATTTTCTTCTCCCACTTCAACCTTAACGCCACCTTCTCGGACAAGCCCTTTGTCCAGTTGCCAACTTTCTCCACCTACTTCTCCTCCGCAGGTCGATCCAACCCACACCTGCCTTGGGGGCACTGGGTGGGTTTAAGAGTACCTCGACATTGTTGGTCGACCTACAGACTGGGCCTTTATTTCTCCCCGACCCTCCGACACATACGACCAACCCCCTAAAGGATGTCACACTTTTTTCCAAAGCCAAATAAATTTAGGCCTCCGCTTTCTTATCTGCCCCGCTCTGCTCGACCTTTGTGGCATTTTGGCCTACCCCTCAACCAGCTTCCTCCAAATTCGATCCGTCGCCTAACCATATTCATTATACTTTCATTTGTTCGCCTGGGTCAAATTGACCTTGCTTTTTTCTTTTATTCTTTTATAGCTAAAGGCCAGAAGGGTGGGCTCTACCTCCAGAGTTGCAGTAAAGCCTACTTTCTATCCGATATCCCTTCCAACGTTCCCAAATGTAAGCGGAAACTTATTTTTGTTTGACCTAATATCCCTTTCCTATGGGACTCGCCCCCATGGCTCGAGGCCCTTACCTTTGAGACCCAAAATCCTCCTCGCAAGTCGCAACCCCTTATTCGACCAGTGCATTGCCTCGTAAAATGCAAACGAGGTCGCTTCTGAAACCTTCCTCTCAAGCAAGAGAATTCTATTCCTATATATTCAATCTTCGATGTTTTAAAATTTTACCAAAATAATTACTTAATGGAATCATATTGTAGTGAAATCAAATTTTTGAATAAAAATTTTAAAATTACACCTATTTTGAAATGAATATAATGTGACTTATTATCAGTAACGTGCACCATACGGAATGTGTTAAATGACATTTTTCTATGTCATTGTACAATTCAAATTTCATATAACATTTTCTATAAATTAAGATAGGAAAATTATATTACATATCAATTCTATTTTTTTTTTTTACAATTTAATAATTATTTTTAAGTTATTAATATTAATGAATATTGCATCCAAATGGTTTCGTACTAATATGATATAAAGATTTGTCAAGACTTTTATGATTTTATGAGATTTCAAAGAAAAATGATATAACGATTTGTCAAGCTTTTATGATTTTTACGAGATTTCAAAGAAAAACATATCACCCCAAATCCGGTTTGAACAAAATTTTGTGGATGCTGAAGTCCAATTTCCAAGAATATTTCTACATATAAACTATCAGGCATTAGACAATTTGAGAGAACCGTCTCAGATATTCCGCTCCCAGCTGCGATTCTCTTCCCCAACCATGGTAAAATATATCAATCTCCATTCTTAATCATGGATTCTTATTATAGCCAGTTTCGTTTGTGGAATTTACTGTTTTCTTTTCTTTTGTTCCAATCGGATTTATGATTTTCCTTGAAATTGACGTCGTAGTTAATTGTTTGATCTCGATTTATATAACGCATTTCTTGTTTCATTTTTGGAGATGCGAGTGTTTCTCAGTTTCTGTGAGAAAATTAAAGTGAGTTAATGTGAATTATTGGGAAGTTGTCCTTGAATCGAAATTTTTATGATATAAATGATAGAAATTTGAAATCTCAGTACTGTTTTCAGCAGCAGATTAGGGCATCCTTTCTATCGTATTTTTATTATTGAAGAGCAGGTTACGTTGTTGGGATTTGGGTGTAATTGTGATCAGGAAATTGGATAGAAACTAGAATATTATGTGTGGACATATGACGATCCCCTTTTTCTTTTTTCAAAAAAAAAAAATAAAAAAATCCTTCTTTTTGTCTGGGGAATGAAGATTTGTGGTTCTTGTAATTTGGAATCAATGTGTACCAGCTGAAAATTGTATGTTGGACCTAATCGTTGTGAATTTGAGGAAAATTTTGGAAGTGAATGATTTTGTTATTCCAAAATAAGTGGATCTCTAATTTGATGATTGGAAAAGTTAACTCAAGATGATTGCTATAAGAATTGAAGTTTTTTTTTTAAAAAAAAAATCTTTCTTTTTGTCTGGGGAATGAAGATTTGTAGTTCTTGTAATTTGGAATCAATGCGTACCAGCTGAAAATTGTATGTTGGACCTAATCGTTGTGAATTTGAGGAAAATTTTGGAAGTGAATGATTTTGTTATTCCAATATAAGTGGATCTCTCATTCGATGATTGGAAAAGTTAACTCAAGATGGTTGCTATAAGAAATGAAGTTTATGTTTTTAATTTGGTTATTCTAATTAATGGTAAGTGGATTCTGATCCTGGCAAAACAAACATTGATTGCTTATGCTTTCCAAGGATGATTATTTGATAACCCAATTTGGGGAATTTGTTTCTTTTGTTGTTTTCTGATCGCTGTTTAATTATGTTGTTGCCCTCTAGACGACCTCAAGGCGCTTGGCGGATAGGAAAGTGATGAAATTTGAGAAGAACATAAAGAAAAGAGGAGCAATTGGGGAAACAACCAAAAAGAAAGGCAGCTCGTATCCCGTTGGCCCTCTGGTGATCGGGTTTTTCATATTTGTCGTCATTGGATCTTGTGAGTTGCTATCAATATAAAAAACTATTTCTTTGTTCTTTGTAGCACTAGCAGTCATATTTTCTTAATCAAATGTTTTATTGCCTTTTGCAATGTATGCATCATTGTGGTTTTCTATGAGTCATCCCAAGAAGTTNAAAAAAAAAAAAAAAGTTAAATGCTTCTTATATTGGTCCCTTGTGTGCTTGCTAAGTTAATCGTTGGCATAAATTATGTAACGTGGTGGATATATGCTCGTTAATTGTGTGCTTGATTTTTGGTTTGAGGGAAAATACATGGTGATCTAATATCGGTTGAGGTTATACAGATGAGAATGCTCAATCATTGTTTAAGTCAATATTTTTAACACCATTTATGCTAATTGTTGCAAGCTCATGGCATCACAAGAAGGCTTGAAAGTTTCAGATAGTAGATTTTTTGTGTAATGCACAAAAAGAAATGCTGTTATTTTGCAGAAATACTAATACCTCCTTGAGGCATTACAAGTACCCTTTGAATAGTGTTTATTTTACAAGTACCTCTATTTGTGCCAGCAATGTTGTGAAATAGAAACATATGGCGACATTTATAATTTTAAAAAAGAATTGATTTTTTTTTTTCTTTTTATCTTTTTGTATTAACCCAACGATCTTTGTTATCATATATGATACTCCTCCTTCGAACCCATGGCAAAAATAAAGACACCGATCCTGTGCTTCTTTTCTTCTGTTTCAGATCAAATGATTTGCTAGCTGACTTATATTTTAATCTTCATTTATATCCAGCTCTGTTCCAGATCATCCGAACTGCGACAAGTGGAGGCATGGATTGAATAAGGCGCAATAAAGTCGACAAATAAGGTCGATAATATGTAGGTGATGTAAGATGAGGTTTGTTAACAACTGTTTGTTTGACGTGCAATAGAAAGAAATAACTGTAAACTTATAAGAAAACTAAGGCTATGACTCTCGACTTTCATCTGTATCTGAAATCATGCAGCTAATCGTATCTTAGACCTGCCAATCCATATGCTTGTGTCTTCTTAATTGTTGGATTTGGAGGTTATGCGTAAAATTGTGATTAGCTTACTGTTATGTGGTACTCAGACGAATCAGCAGCACACTTATTCTTCAAATTCCCCTTCACCACCCATATTTTCTCCGTAATGAATTGGGCTAAGAAGGTAACTGAAAACCTTAAAGAGCTCCTCATATGGATAAAGGATGAAGCAAAATAGAGTGGATGACAAACCAAAACGATGAAGGTCGCAATAACTGCATTCGTTTACTTCGTTTGTAATTATGGAATAAGAAGAATTTGGATAATGAATCTCAAACTGCTAGCCAAATCATTAGGTGTTTGAGACTCAAGTTCTTGAACAATCTTTGCATCTTACCCGAAAGTGCTAGCACATGTAGAAGTGAAGACCCTTGGCACATGCTTAGTTGGCTGGCACCTCTTTGTTATTTGATCCGATGGTGAGGATACAAGTATTAGGTTAACAATTTTTGTTATGTAGGATGCATCCAATTGAGATTTTTAAAGATTTTTAAAATTTTTTAAATTGGATAATTTTGGTAGCTTTATAAAACTTTTATGACTTTAGTGGCATTTTGAAACTTTCACATAAATTTTATTTGAAACTTTCATCATGGACTTTTTGAAACTTATTAAGATTTTTATATACTTATAGTTATAGCTATTACGTTTGCATGAATTGTTCATGAACGTTGCATAATAACTAATATCAATAAAGTCAAGTTAGTTTTTTCTTTAAAGAAAAATATTAAACCGAAATGAGTTATGATAATAAAAATTAGCTATTCAATAAGAATAAAAAAAATAGGTTTTGTAGATTAATCGTAAAAAAATTCTAAATCAACCCTGAATTTGTTACTCGAACTGAGCTATTCACGAACAACTTGTTTAGTGTTTTACGTTTGTTAAACGAGCAAGCTGATTCGAGCTTTCATGAGCTTCAGCGGGTCGAACTCGAGCAGGACGTTATATTTTTCGTTAAACGAGCATAAACTCAAACATGTGTTACTCATCTTTGCTACAATGATACTTATAATCAACTCAATCAAGATATATTTATCTAATTATTATTATTATTATTATTATTATTATTATTATTGTTATTATTATTATTATTTTTTGCATCATGTTGTAATATTAGAAAAATATTGTTAGGATATATTCTTGCAAGATACAAACATTACCTAAAGTTAATTGTTGATAAACGGAATTTAACAACGTAATTAAGATATGCCAAATGACAAAAGTTGCGGAAAATAGAATTTTTATTAAGTTTTTTAAAGTTGGTTTTACAGTTGAAGAAGTCGGTACTTCACTACAAGAAGTTGGTTTCGTGAATAACCGAGTTGTTTAATGCTTGAATTCAATGTGCCGAAAAAAGATCCTCGTATTGAGTTAAATGCGGCTATTCATATTAACGTTCTGCATGCCTTTTGAGGAGATTTGGCGACATTTAATGCAGATTGACAGCATAGGGTCGACTATGACGTAAGCAAGACTGTAGGCAATGATGAGGGCATGGGCCGCCCATCAATTGATTGACATGCGTCATTTCTTGTCGAAATGAGGTCGGGCCTGCACGATCTCGGAGTTCTGCGATCCATTGGTGGGCTGCGCGTACCGAGGTGACCCCAGGAAAAACTCCTTGTATGTCGGAACTTAACATTTAGTTCTAATCGTCTTTATTAATCTTCTTGAGACGTCCTTAATATGATGTAACTGATTTTGATATCAACAATAATAATTGTATCTTTTAAAGTTATGAATAATACTCAAAATAATAAACTCTTACACAAAAAATGAATATTGAAAAAAATTACAAATCTCACAGAAGTTGATGAACAGAGTCGCATGAGTCCAACAAATCTCACCAATACAAATCTCATTAAGTTGATGAGATTTTTATTGGGACTCTGTCTGTATAATTTTGTTACAAAATTATCTGAAAGTCTTATAATTTTAAAGTTTAAAAAAGTGACTCATAGAGACTGATAGAAAATTTTAATTGTATATTTAAGACTTTAGAAATCTCAAGAAGTTCTAATTAAACTAGTGTGCATCCCGTGCGATGCACGGACGGACTTGTTACTTAAAATATGTTTTAAAATTTCATCTTAAATATAGTTATTTATATTTAACATCACGTTGCAAGAAAAGATATACAAACTATACAAAAATCATATATTTATTTATTTAGATATAATGTGTCTCCACAACCAAATCAATAATATCTAACGCGTGATATATAATAAAATTAATTATATGCACCGTCATGATTTTAACTGATATAATCTGTTTTGTTTTTTAAACATTTTTATTTTATTTATTGTACATGTAATACGAATATTTTAAATGTGAAATTCCCATATTTAAAAAAAGATACGTGACATTAATGTGATTATTGCAATCAATTAGCTGTGAATAATATTTTGATGATTAGGAATTTCATCTATTTGAAATTTATATTTTAAAAAAAAATAGCGTGTTGGTTAATCAAGAAAATGTGAGATTCGTTCAATTTATTGCGTGAATGTAGTCTTTGTACAACAAATAATATAAATAATTCATAAAATAAAAGTTGATTTGTAAGATAAAAAAATTGAGATAAATGTTGTTAAACAAATTTTGTCCATTTAACTCGTTGATTGAGATAAGTATTATTAAACAAATTTTGTTCATTTAACTCGTTGAGTGTTTTTTTTTTCAAAAAAAAATAAAACTTTTAAAAGTCGTGAACTTAGATGACAATTGTTAAACAAATTTTGTTCAATTAAGTTGTCGAGTGGATTTTTCCTTTAAAAAAATGATTGGTAAGATGAGAAATTGAGATAAACACAAATAGGTAAGAGAAACATGGAGACAAATTGATTTTCCAAACTTAAAAATATACAAATATTCAAATGTATAACATTTGACCGAAATAAAATGATGTGGCAGATTCAAAAAATTTCATAAAAAAAGTTCCATTAGTAGTAACAAACGAATTTTTGGGCAAGATTCTTATAAGTTGATACTTATTTTTTTTAAGTAAATCTTTATTCTTATTATATATTAATAGATTACAATTCAAAACGGATAAGGAAACTAAGTCCATATTGAAATTGTCTCTCTCTTCCAACTTGAAGAGTAGAACAAAATGTCACGGAACTACAACTGCTTTCTCTCACTAAAAAATTTCTGCCAGAAAACTTGGACCGTCTTCTTCACGCACTATCGTTCTGGTTGCCAAAAAAAAAGTTCGAAAAAATAATGGACATTTCATGGATCATGATTTGTCCGTGAAGCACCATGGCATACCACGCTCCAGTCCTCCCACCGGTGTCCGACCAGCACGACGTTGCGCCTTGGCCCGATGTCCAGTTCGGCCAGCAACTTGGACGGCGTTCAGCCATGTCCGACTAAGTCTGAAAAGCTCCATTTTGTATTCCACTCAGCTCGCTCAAGAAATGAACTCACAATCTGTCGAACAAAATTTCAACACTCAATTTCCTGTAAAAAAAAACATAAAAAGATTATTTAATTGTTTTCAAATTCACCTGCCGCACACGGTTTGACATAAAGACAGTAGCCGATAATTCTTTCATATTTGCATAAACTAAAGGATACTTAAAAAGTGACCGGTGATAAACCAGTTCGCAGAAATTTTGAAAATAATTTACATAATTTTTTCACTGTTAAACATTGAAAAAGAATATCTCAACAATAATAAGAACTTTAAACACTATATACCTAGTTCGACTATCCCTCAAAGCATCCAAAAGTGCTTGGTCTTGGATCCAATTAGGCTTTACATTCCGTGGACCGCCTGACAAAAAAAGGGATAGAGCTTATTTAAAAAGATCGTGTTACTTAAAAGTGTCAGGTGATTAATATCGATTCATTTACCTGAGTGAAAAATAGAATTTCCTTGCTTGATGGATAGAAACCTCAAGTACTCCCTCCATATAAGTTCAAACAACATCCTGGAGGAAAGAACAAAAAATAAAAGAGAAATGTTTAGACTAACAACATACTTTACAGAAAGTTATCAGACTATCTAAATTCACAATTATAAGAGTAGAAGAGGAACGCCTCTTTAACGATGTTCTAAATAGGGGATGAGACAATACAAACCAATAGGTAGAGTCATTTGCTACTCTCAACTTTTCATATCTTTTCACCGAAATAAGTTAAAATTTTATGAGTATAAGAGTTTCATAAACAAATCATGTTTCTTAATGTGGTACCATTCAACTCGCCAGGCTATGTCTATTCAGGTGACCTTCAATATGAAAGGGCCAGCACGATGCTGCCAAGTCCATCCGCCTTCAGCAGCCTTGCACCAGAATTTCGGTCAGGCCCTCTAAACCACCAGCCCGGCCGCAAGCATCCAACAACCATGAAAACCAGCCAACAGTGCCTTGCAGCTGTCGAGAAGAAGTCGGCTAGCTTGCTTCATTCGCGACCAGCCCTCTCCTGCCATCAACATCTTTTAAAGGAAGGAGAAAAATCAGGCATTACATAAATGTAAAGATGCGGTTCTAAAAAAAGGCAGAAAAGCAGAGCAAAATTAAGCTAAAAAACCAGAGAAAATCAAAAGTTACAGGGCGAGACCGGTGAATAAGCAGACCACAAGCTAATCCTCGTGACGGACTTAATCTCCAAGTCGACTCCTCGAATACTCTCGCGCAGACCGTTGGAGCCATCGAGCTTGTGTCGAAAGTCGTCGACTACTTCTCGACGCAACGTGGCGGGGTAAGGGGGCACGTGGGAGCCACTCCTATCGCTAGCCATACAGCTGATGGTGGAGAGTCCACCGGCGGCACGCCACGGGAGGAGGGCAAGGGGGCGACGCGGTGGGGGTTAGGGTTTATGGGGTGGATGGGAAAGAATAAAAAATTATCAAATTAAACAGGATTTTTTATTAGATAAATAAGCAAGATTTTATTTTCAAATTTCAAAAAAATTCAAATGGAATTGAAATCGGATGTTATTGTTTACCAAATCTTAACCAATCTGATCAAACTTCTCCCTACACGCATGGAAATTGCAATCAATTAGTTACCAAATCCATTAGCCCGGGACATGTGATAAAATTTAAAATAAAATTTCAGAAGTGGTAAAAAATGAAAAATAGAAGTGCAAAAATGACATAAAAAAGCGGGAAAATGAAAGTATTTTTTTTTTTTGAGTTTTTTGAATAATTTATCTTAGCCGTATTATATAATAATAGATACACTAAAATTATGAAAATTTAAAAAGTCTATAAAAGGTTAACACGGAGGTTCACACGGTAAAACATGTTACTCTACAAGGGTACTTTCGGTTAATCACATGTCGTCATCCTCCATAATAAAAAATCATCCTTCCACAATAAATCAAGTTTAATTACAATCCCTAGATCCTAGATCTACAGAACAAAAAAAAGGGAGAAAATTAGAAGTAAGAAAATTAGAAGTAAAAGTTGAGATTGAGAAGAAGCAATGGACGCGTTGGACTCAGTTTTCGACCCGCTCAGAGATTTCTCTAAGGACAGCGTTCGCCTCGTCAAGCGCTGCCACAAGCCTGATCGCAAAGGTACGACTCGTCCATGCCCAATGTGCGACCTAATAGATCTACATTTTGATTTGATTTTATCGATTGATTTGCGTATTTTCTTTGCAGAGTTCACGAAGGTCGCCACTCGAACGGCGATCGGGTTCGTTGTGATGGGTTTCGTCGGATTTTTCGTCAAGCTGATCTTCATCCCCATCAACAATATAATCGTCGGGGCTACTTAAGTTCTCAATAGGTAATTTAACCTTTTTTAACGATCTAATTGGATTTCCATTAACGTGCGTGTAAAGTGGGTTGATGTATCTGAATTATGATTTGATGTTTGAAGAATTATGTCGAGGTTTGTGTTCAGTATATCTACATGCATATAGATGGACGCTTGGGAATTTCAGTTGGCTATAATGTGTGTTTTCATCATGCGTCTGTTGATGGGCTAGAGAGTCAATACCTACGAAAAGGATATTTCCCTTTTTTGGATCAGATATAGTTGTTGTTCAGACATTCTGATTTTCAGATTTATAAGCATTTTGCTAAAGAAACTATTTTGGTAAAGGTTAGCTCTAGTGATGCCAAAGAAGCAACTTATTCCGATGAGTTCATATGTCATAATTTCGAGTTATCTTGTGAAGACACAGCGTTGAGAATTGCATTACTCTGCCGTGGTTTCAGAACATCTTCGAATGATGATAGCACTCCTTTATATGCTTCAATTTTGTGCATTTGGAATGATGCCTCTGACCCAAGATTTAAAATGGAACCCCTTTATTAGGAAAATGTTTAATAGCTGAAAGCATATCTCTCATTTTATGGTTCCATTTATTGGATGGAAAGCATTCTATCATGGAGGTACTTGAAGAATAATGTTCCGACACTTAATGTTTTAACCATATTTTTGCACTAAAATAGAACTCAAATTGAGAAGATACAATAATAAGTATAAGTACAAGCAAAATCTTTGATTCATATATGCTTTAGACCTTTAGACTAGGCCTGACATCATCACTTTTATGTTGCCACAAGTATAAACGTAAATGAGTGGTCATTAGTTAATATGCCACACATTTACGTGTTTGTGCACATAATTTTGTGTGTGTGTGTGTCTGCATTGATAATGTTGTGTTTCCATCTTAAGTAAAAATTTAATTTGGTGAGTTGAATACTTGATTCACTGTTGAAGCATTTAAATATGGTATAATTGAATCATTTGAGTTCATGTGCTTGGGAGCAGGAAGCAAAATGGAATAAGGCTGTTCTTAAGATAAAGACCGTTTGAATTTTTTAAGTTAGTTATTTCGTACTAAGGCTGTTTTCTTTATGTGCTTTCTTCTCCTTATGATGCACACATGCTCTTGTAATATTCCAAAAATTAGTATTGACTTTGCGTTGTGACTCGACTATTCAAATGACTTGTTTGGGATAAGCAAGGACTAATTAAGACATTCGTGTGATATTGCAGGCTTTTGGTAGACGAGAAACTCGATAACATTCAAGACAGGGAAGAGAAGAAATACTGTTCTGATTATTAGGACTTCTCCATGTAATGATTGACATAACCTAGATATTTTTCCTTTCTCCTTTCTCCTTTCTCATTTTGTTTCTCAGTTATGAATCTCATGCATGAATTTTATTAGCACATTATTCTCACTCTCTCTCTCTCTCTCTCTCTTCGTGTGTGTGCGTGTGTGCATCCATTATGGCCTATGCTGTTGGACAATGCAGTGTTAATTCTGTTTACTTCTGAGTAGAGTACTAGTTTGAGTTGGTTTATTTCTCAGTAACATCTAATGTCCATTTAAGATTTTTTTTTTTCTTTCTTTTAAAGAGGATCAATAGTGGTTCCTCACTTGCCCCCTTGGATGACTCGAACTCGTGACCTGTTTGTTCCTTGTTCCAAGTGAAGGCTGCTATCAACTGAGCTACCCCTTCTCATCAATGAAAAAAATAGTAATTTAAAGAATTTAAAGTTAATTTGTGATTGGTTTTCAGAGTTGGGGACATTGGGACATAATGAGTATTAGTAAATGTAATTTGACGAATGTAAAGTTAATTTGTGATAGGTTTTCACAGTTGGGGACATTGGGACTTAGAAGTAAAGGAAGCTCATTAGTTATAACATAAGAGCACTCACAATGTTTTGGGTCTCTTAACAAAAAATCACATGCCACATGGGAAATAGATTTAGTCTATAAAAAAATGCTTTTCAATGCAATTAAAAGTGGACATGGTTTAGCTTATGTGGCAATAAGAAAAAGAGATCAAGTCCACACTTGGGTCTATTTTGCACCCAAGTACAAACTCAAACACTCATCATTTATTCTTAATTTAATTTTTCTTTTAATAAAGAAAACATATTAGATCATTTTTATTGGTTGACATGTATGCTAGACCTAGTATGTTTATTTTTGCATTGCAAAGTTTTTGAGTTCTTTTACTTGAGTTTGTCCATGTTATTTAAGACCCAAGTCCAATTATATGCCACATATACAAAAAGAGACTCGAAGCATTGTGGGTGCTCTAAGTAATATCTCTCTCTTACATATAAGAAAAAGTATGAGTGATTTGAGCGCTGACACGTGGAGATTTTATTCTGACCAAAATACCCATGATTTTGCCCTCTTTTTGCATATGATGCCCCTACATTTACCATCACAGAAAGTACTCTTTGTTTGTCTTATCTCTCTCTCGGCAAATATAAGAGAGAATAAGAGTGGGCTTTAGGCGCTGACACGTGGCGTTTTTTGCAAACATAAATGCCCTCCGATTTTGATATTTTACGATCACTGCCACTGCTTTTGCATGAACTAAACGTGTCCCATGGGTGAATTCCCAGATCTACTACAAATAAGCTTCTAAACGACGTTGTATGGCCTTTTGCTTTTTCCCGATTTTTGGGTCTGCTTCTCAATCTTTTGGTCAAACACACAAAATTAAATGATAAATTGTGGATGTGAAAAAAAGTCAGCTTTTGCTGCACCGCACGTCTTCCTCCTCCGAAAAGCCTAAAATTAGGGAAACCACTCCTCCATTTCCAAAATCTCAAATCGTACCTTCTCTATTCCACATTCACCCATTCTTCCTTCTCCATTTCCCAAAACTCTAATCCGTAACTTCCCCTGTTCCTCATTTACCCTAGAACGCAACATTTCACCCAATAAAAGCCATGATAAACCATGATCGCCGTTGGGAGCTACCCACCACCTCTGGCGCCGATGAGCGGCTCGGCTCACTGCAAGTGCGCCGCCAGGAAGGCGACTGAAGTGTCATGGGCGGCGTAGTCGAACAGCACGTTGTCTAGCCTGAGCGAGGGGAGATGCGAGCGGGAGGAAAACCTCGACGAGATGGTGTCGAGCTCGCAGAAGATAGCCGACGGCGGTGGCGACGGGGTCACCGGAAGGAAGCTCCGCTGAGAAGAGACAACACGTTATCTAGCCTGGTTTGTTTTCGAAAAAGGTAAGAAATTCATCTGCATCTTTCATATTTCTCTATCTTTCAACATATAAATGTGTTTTTCTGGACTTATAACTTTTCCCTGCTTTTATGTTTCCTCAGTTGTAATTAGCACAATTCAGCAATTCTCTCTAGAAAAAAAATACAAGAGAACCCTAGGTACACTGCAAAATTGCAGCTTCGATCCGCATACCACCACACGCAGCTATCACCTCCTCTTCTCAGAGCCCACAAAAACTCTTCTTCTCAGAGCCCACAAAAAGCAGTGGGCTGCCGCCTCTTTCCAGCCCATCTAGATTCCGACTCCCGAGGCACAGGTATTGATGCGGTTGAATCTTTAATTCTTTGTTGTGCTTTAAATTAGTTAGGCATAATTTTCCGGATTGTGGGTGCCAAATCTTTTTTTTTTTTTTTTCTTTCATATTGTGTAAAATTAGTGAGTATACAAATATGTAAGTGGATTTTTATTTTCCGAGTCAGATGGAAGGTTTAAATTACTTTCACCTCTATTAAAAGCTTTTCGGATCAACCAATATCACTCATACTTATAGCAGTTGTTCAATGGCGGAGGGTTTCCTTTACCATTGCCACAGTCTCGCCGAAGGCCTGAAGGCACCTGAGACAATGAGGTGGGCCGCTCGCGGTATAGGAGATTGCGCAAAGCTCGCTCGGGTGCCTCGCGTCGTAAGTTTCCTCCGACGGCGCGTTTGGAGTGAGTAATAGCTTGCATGTTTGGAATGAGTATTAACTTTGGTCTTAATCTATTTTCTGGGTTTGGGATGCTCAATTTT